AACGCAAAGGGAAATATATCCTAATTACGGCACGAAATATGAGTAAATATGTATTTTAAAAAATTATTTATTTAAAATAAACCCGCTCAAATTATCTAAAAATAATATTATTTTATACTGATTTTTTTGTGGATATTATTTGGCGGTGTTTAAAAAATTTTTGCTTCCATAATTAGGATATTATATTTTGCATATTTGATTTTGCATTGGCTCGATTTCCAATTTCCATAACTTTGACAATATTTGTATGTAAAATGACAACATTTTTTTATGTTATGAATGTATCACAATCTCATAAAACATATCAAGTTTCACAAGCTATTTGTTGCAGAGAAGCTTTGAAATATACACAATAGTAAAATATATTAATGTATTAATTGAACGGCAAATTCAACTATTGCAATTTGATTATTTAATGCTTATACATTAAATTACCTCAGTTGCATGCACACTGCTATAAGCTGTCAAATTAAATTAAACAAATAAATTATCTATGGATAGTTTACTAATTATGACTCATGATTGATAAAATTAATTAATTATCACGCCAAAAACAATATGTAAACAAAAGTTAATCGGTTGATTCGTTGATAGAAATATACACCAGCCAGTATATATAATAAAGTAAATTATAAATTTAATAAAATTTAATTTATATTTCAGTATTATAACGGCTAACAATCCGATATCTTTTATTAAACACGAAACAAAGAGAAAATAATGATACGAGGCATAACTTTAGTAGCAGATATAGAAGGTCCAAAAAGTAGAATGTACCGAAAGAATTGCCCTAATTGCAAGATATACAATTCGCGTTAGCGCCTACACCCACAGGAGAATTCTAATTAATGCTATTAGCGGACGTTAACGCGTTCCATCGTTACGTGAGATTTATGTTCGACGGCAAAGTAATTACACCTTGCTGCTAGGATTCAGCTTCCCTAGATACTACAAGCCACCTCGAATAAAATTACTACCGCTGTTTCATCGTGTCTGATAGACGTGGTCTGAGAAACACTTTAAACGTATATTTTTTTTTATAAAATGGTTAAATAACACGGTAAAATATAAGTTAAGTGATATCTTGTTTAAGTGAGTTATATTTAGAGAAAAATTTGTTAGCTGTTCATTAATTTATCGCCAGTAATTATAAGATTATTTCATGAGTAACACGATTTTTTGCAATCATATTGACTTTATCTTTCGAAACTACATTGAAATTTTTTACGAGAATAGATCGGTAGAAATTCATATTTACAATCACAATTATATCGTCAAATCAATTTTCACAACTGGAAACTGATTAATGCATATTAATCAATTTCCATGTGATCTCGCCAATTCGCGTAAATTTATATACAGATTTATTGACTCATAAAGTCTCTCAGAAAATTAATTAACATCGAGACACGATCATTGTAAAATGTATAAATGTGCTGTGCAATTAAAAAATCACTGTAAAGTATCATACAAATTCATGATTCTAAAGATCTAAACATAATCTTTTGCATTCCAAAAACGTTCAATATGGTATGTATGATATTTTTTAAATTAATTCATTTATTTTTAAAATATGCAAATATGTTATTGCATTAATATAATTAACAGAGAACTAATTGGAAGAAAATACCATAGAGACCACCTAGAAATGCAAAGGGATGAATAGTGTTTTCGAGAGACAACAACTTCTGTCGAAGACTGTACTATGATATCCAGATTTGTGCGTATTGTTCGAGCATGGACAGTGCTGGCTACTGCTTGTACGATACAAAGCGGAGAGAACCCAAGCTAAACCGCTTCCATGCAAAGCGGCTAAAGGGGCTCTTGAAGCATCTTCAATCGGTAGCCCGATGCACGGTCCGGAAGTGCATTAAAGCGTTAGAGTCGTTATGCCGTAATATCGCGTTATGTAAACGACCTGCGAATCATCCCCCGCAATCCTTGCCCCCTGTCGCCCCCACCATAGCGCGCATTCGACCGATAAGCGTTACACGCGTACTCGCCCCGTTTAAACGCAGCCGACTCTCTCTCAAATCGAATCTCCTTTGACGCGTGCCGAGCGCAATTCCGCGCGTGTGTGCGTGGGCATACCCGCTCAGCTTTCATTTGATCCGATTTCACTCAGTATTCTGAGCGACAAGCGTTACCTTTTGTAAAGACCGGTACGAATTAATGTGTCATACGTTTATGATCCAACGCGCATTATTAGTTTACTGCATTTTCGTTTTTCGGATGCGATAATATAACGATCTTTATGTCTCATGAAAAAATTTATATATATATACAAGCTATTTCTTTTTCCTATAAAAAAATATGTGCATATAAAAATATTTTTGTACGAATTATACCGGGCGGTATTCTTCACAATGGCTAATTGTAAACGCTTTAAAGTTTATGTCGATATAACGATATCCCTCTTTTATCCATGCTTACGTTATTTCCTTACATTCTCTGATTTTGTAATCTTCTTTTGTCATAACAAAAATCGTTATATTTTTCTTTTATATAAATATACGCGTAAGCCGTTTCTCTACCACGATATAAATATACGCGTAAGCCGTTTCTCTACCACAATACATGTACTACTTTGTTCGAGATTTCTTTCTACTATTACGGCGCAAACTCACGTCTTGCTGCAAGCAATTTCCTTTCAATTTACATGTACTTATGCGTGTATACATAAAATGTAAAATATAACAGTCGTTTGCGCTCTCGGTCTTCCGAAATTTGATGTTTCCATTCGGCGCGGCCACTCGATCAGCTCCATTAAACACACTTTAACGGCGAATAGATGCCGGTCTTATCTCCGAAGTACCGGCGAGTTTGCGCCGCAGCCCGTGACGTGAAACAGTATATAATGATACATAGAAGAAGATCGATAAATGTCGTGCAAAGTTTTTCGTAAGGTGGCAGCTGACGCGCGAAGATTACCGCCAGTTTCTCGCTCGGATTTTTATTGGCAGCAATAGAAATGAGAGTTGGCAAGAGAAATTGATGTATGTGCCCCAGAATTGAACCTGCGTTCCACCTTGTTTTATTACTTCACGCGTTTCTCTGTATCATATCCCGCACCCTCGGCACTCCCCGTGTGTCGTATACTTCTCTCCTCTTTTATCTATTGAACACATCACCATGCTATAAGGGCACGATATGTTCGCCCGAGCGCGATAAACTGAAGAAACTCGCGCTGCGCACGTCCACTCCGATCGATCGGATTTACACTGGCCGTGGCTTAAGCTGAGAGTGGTCGACCCTCGTGTAATTTTCACCTTTAGCGCCCTTTGCTCGTAGCACCGGTAAATACCGGAAGCGTGAAGCTTTTTCTGTCAGAATATATCCGCGAGCAGTTATAATCTTAACGGTATAATCGCTCTATTATCAAACATTGTATGTATCATGCTAGATCGGAGTGATATTTAACGGACACATAAATCTTGGCGTGAAAAAAAAATGTGGATAAGAGAAAATAAATGAAGAAAAGAACAACATCTTTAAGAAACTTGAGTCTAAATTATCGAACAACAATTTTTGCTTTTCGAAGGAATTTAATTTTTAACAATCAAAAAATTCAAATATTTTGTAAAAGTTTTTGCTTGCAATAGGTATGATGCAATAAATGACGTTTAAGTTCGAAAAATAGAAAAAAAATCGCAAAACTGTGTCCTCTCTTAAATTCCTATCTCGCGCTACTTCGGTATTATGGAAATATTTCATTTACAACATCAAAATGACATTTTCAGCGCCTTGTGCGGGAAAGCTTTTTGTTAGCATTTCGAGTTATACATATTTACACTAAGCCATCCGCACGGCAGGCCATAAATTCATAATCACGGAAAACTCATGGCTACATTGTACTCGCAAATAGCTGTCCACGCGAGGCAATTCGCGCGTGGTTTCGGAAATACAGTGCCAACGCGAGAGGCATCGCCGCGAAAAGTCATGCCTCGTTAGAATGTAGAGCGTAGGAATGTGGAGCTTGTTTACACGCGCAGAAAACCACATAACTATGCAGTTATGTGTGCGACTTTATGTCCATGCACTTCCATGTGTTCTGTTTATCTGGCCGGCGGACACGGGATGCATTAATTTAGGTTGCTTGCGTATCTGCGACCAAACTACGCCGGGGATGCTACGTCCGGAAAAAGGCCGAGAACGAACGGCGAACATTTATCTCTTCCCAATACATTAATGTTACAGCGGTAACCGATATCTGCAAAAATTAATTCCAGATATTGCCGAGGTTATACCCTCGGGTGAAAAACTTGATACATTTTTGCACATTTTTGATGTAACAAATCAGGCTATCGATGTATCTGCTGTTGTATTGCTGGGGAATTAAACTTTAACCTGAAGCTACTTCCAGGCAATTAATCGACGATGAAATTTAAATAGCGAGAATGAAAAGGTGATTCAACTCGCTCTCAACAGTGAAAAGTTTCAAATCAACGTTGAATAACAAATTCCCCATCGCCGCTCCGGACAATCGCTTTCCTAATGAACGTCAATTTGTCGGAGCAACGTATTGGATCACGGCAAGTACGTATGTCATAATGTTATAGGACCATAATAATGCCGGTACGTGTTCCTACGGCGGTAAATCAGATGAACGGCTGCGCGAACGCAAATACGTGCGATACATATTCACATGCTTTTAGCTTAGCATCTCGGTCCCTATGCAAATAAAGGCGACGACTGCAGTATGTATATACACATGTATATACACATGTTAAGATGTAATAATGCAAATGCTTTTCAGATTATGTTATCTAGCGTTAATATTCTTCCCCCGGGACACATTTCCCTTTATTCTCGCCGTTTCCTCATCTTAAAAATGTTTATTTTCCAGTCATTAGTATTCTACTGCAGCACTACGATATATCTGTAACTTTTGCACAGCTACTTTGCTACGCCTCGTGAAAAATATTTACAGCGTGTTTATAAAATCTCTAAAAAAATAAAAAGCTAATATCTTAGAATAATTAATAAAGCAAAACACTTACCTGTTCAGTCTAATGGTACTCTTCGTCTCTCGCACCATCAACGCTCGTTCCCAAAAGTGTACAGCCTCGGGCAGAATGGTATTCTGAAATCGAACAACAGATAAATTTTAAATTCAGCACGAGAATATTAGTCTACGCGCATATATACGAGACACACGTTGCGCATCTGGTGGGCGAAATAATGCGCAACGCATTAATCGGAGACAAAAGCGCGCGTACGTAAACGAATTATGTAACGTGCAACCGGGATTAATTCAAAGCGTCTTCACTCGAAAGATGCATGGCGACGAGAAAAAAGATCCAGCGGTATGCTTTACAAGGAATATTATCGCAAACCGTGTTACCGGCATGTAAGCAAACGAGGGTAAAAGAGCCATACATTACGCAACATTCTGTATTTACTGTATTTCACTCCCTGTCGACGAAACGCGTTCTGCCAAGCAAGACGCGGAAACATGACGCGGACGAAATCGTGTAGAGCGAGCGAGCGGAATGGACGGTGAAAAACACCGAAAGAATGAAATAATGCAAGCTCGACAGATGGAAAAAGCGCTCCGGTCTGGTTTTATGAAGTTTCGCCGACGTGTAACAACAAAATTACGCCCTTCTATAATGCAGCGCAATCGCGGTCTTGCGAGGATGCAACGGGCTTTTTGGGGTTAATTCCGGCTGGCGGTGCGGATTGTGTGCGATTTTTAATTCTTGCGCCCGCCGTACAATTCATGTCGGACGTAAAAAAGTCTAACGTCGATCCCAGAGGAAACGTCCCTTTGTCCCGCGCATTTATCATGATTATGCATGCTGAGTAATCGCAGTTCTCCACGTTGAATAGAATATCCGATGGAATTATCATAACGCCATTGCGAAATCTTCTCTCGCGGGAGAGATATTTTTCCGCGTAAAGTATGAAAGATTAATAGAATGTTAATAAAATCTGGACAATGCGTGGCGTATAAAGGAATTCTAACGTAAAGTCGACGAATATGCGACTTCGCACAAACGAAATAATTTCGCCTCGTTGGATGTGTGAATAGACACCTGGTGCGCTTTTATCGTAAAGTTTTCATTCCTCCAATATAATTTTTGCGAGATAATAAAAAGAAAACGAAGCAGAAAGACAGAAGAATTCTCCGAGCGCAGATAGGAGACTAAGAAGAGGTAGGGAAAAGTCGCCTTGCATAATGTACCTTAAAATAATTATGAATGTCTGCGGCCGACAAATCCCAGATGTTCTTCCTTGTACTTTTTTTTCAACAGTACGAGATATAATTTCGTATCTCTCGGTGAGACAATAAATATCTTCAAGAAACCCAATTTTGAATTAACAACAATCTCCAAATAATCTATAATATATATGTTCAAAATATTACAAATTTTCGAGATATTCGACGAAGATTACATTTGTGCAATTTAGCAATTTTAATAATTTGTAACGATTTCAACAATTTTCTTACTGCCTTTAAGCTGTACAATATTCGGGATTAATAATATTCCAGATATTTAAAACTACAAAATGGTCTTATGACGCATTATTATCGTCTTTACATAGTTGCGAATTCTTTCATGAGAATAATGAACGCGAAATGTGCACTTTTCGTGTACCATTGGAAAGACCGACACAGTAAACGCAATGCTTCTCTTCTTTCTCGTGTTTCTTTTTTATTCCGCCAGACATGCTGAAGAAACGGGGAAAAAAAGAAATGATGCGCATTACTTTCGTCTGCCTTAAACTAACGCTCATTACCGTCTAAAAGTGTGCGATTGAAGTAACGGCACGCGCGGAGAAAGAGAACTTTTACGTCCGAACGGACGCACGTCATTAATATCGGCCTAGTGGCGAGTTCCTGATAATTAAAACGGAAACGAATGGAACCTCGAACGTGCAACCGCTCGATTTTCTTTGTCTGCAATTATTTTTCGCTGATTGCATCGTGGAAGGAGACGGCCGTTAACAGCCTCGCGCGCTTCCATTACATTTTCTTCGTATTTACCGGTATTCAGAGAGAAAAAAAACTGTCGCGTTGCCAGGAAATTATGGTACGCGCCCGATATTCTATCTGTAATAATAATACAAGACCATTTCGGAAAATGACGCGGTGGTTCGATTTCGGTGATCCGATCTTTTAATATAAATATACTTTAACAGTTATTCAATATGATAGTTAAAACAAACATCATCAGAAAAAAATTTTAAATAAAACTTGCAAAATGGAACGTCGAGATAGACGCGTCAATATGTCTGAAAATAAATACAGAATAAAATACATATCTAGAATTCTGTTAACACACGTCATATGCAACATAGTTTTTAAATCACACCGATATCATGGTGATGATATTTTATTATATAAAATATTGAAATCTATTTTTCTGATGTTGTTTACTGTAAATATTGGATTCAATTTTAATATAGATATTGTTAATAAAAGTCCATTAAACTTCGTCAAAATGAATCCTTATATTTTTTCCAAATATAAAAAAATTATATCTTTTTAGTGTCTTTTTAAAAATTTATCATCCATTTAATAAAGAGACAAGAAAAATAATTATTTAATTAGTTGTAATTATTTATAAGTTCTTCATTTTTATATTATCGATCGTTAAAAGAATTGTATTACAATATGCTATTCGGTGGGGCTAATTTTATGGAAAGGTAAAGTTATCTTCTTTTACATTAATTCCCTTCGCGACGGTTAAATATAATTTTACGATAAATTCAACATTTAACTGGATGCTGTATTTGTCACGATGTCATGTCGGAGAAATTCTGCCGCTATATTTAAACAATGACAAGTAGCGAACGTACGGAGCAATGGAATTGTACCGAGCGGTAAAATTGTTCGCGACGGTAACTTATTTAAGGAAAAAGCGGCCATGGTTGACCGCAAGAACGCGGAAAGGGTGGAATACAAAATTGGTAGCGGACAGGTACAGGGGCCAATGTTTGGAGGCATTTTGCGCCTCGTTACGCTCGATTTCCGCGATGAATAAATCGATACGCGAGCGCCGTATAAAATGTAAGAGAGGAAAACTGACCGTGGTCGGTGGCATCGCTATTTTTTTTATATTTTTTCTTCTCTCTCTCTCTCTCTCTCTTCCTCTTCTTTTTTTGCAATGCGTCCTCACGGCACGGTTGCAGTTGCGGCTGCAGCGCGCAACGAGAAGAGGTAGCATGCAAGATGAAAAGAGGGATGCGCGACAACTGGCCGATTATTGTTGACAGAGACGACACGCGGATGCTCTCGCAAAATTATTCACGAACCGTCGCGCGAGGCCGAATTCAATTTGGTCCTGCGTCAACGCTTACTAAAAAAAAAAATTCAGAGAGACGAAATGAGAACGGCATAGAGAACGTACGCTAAAAGAGCTGCGGAGGATGAGAGATCTGACAGAGGCCTGGTCCCTCTCTTGATTTTTCAACAGATCCACCGGATTGCACAGCCATGCCGGTGGACGGTAGCACTCCGGTCTCCAAATACGACCTATTTAACGTATGCGAACCGCCGCCAGCCGGTTCCATCGTAGAAATGCGGACGATTAATTCGGCCTCCTGGATTTTATTTCGCGAATGCCGCACGTGCCCGGCTATTTCGGAAAAACACGATTCTAAAAATGCAAACTTGGTTAATGACAATGATAATTATTAGCCGGCTCGCGACGTCCGTGCCCGGCTTGTTCATTTTTCGGAACGTTGTTTAAAATTTTATGCGCGTTGCAACGTTGCGGTTGCATCCGAAAAATTCCACGTGCGCGGTTTTCGCCGGTAATAGCGAGGCGGAAGGGGTATTCTTAACCGAGTGCATCAACAGATTGAAGCGGAAAGGAAAATAATCCGCGCAGAGAATCATCCGTGCGTCTTCTCCGAAATCACTTGCGAGATTTTTATCCGTTACGATGAGATTCTCTGCGAGTAACGCGAATAAACACGGCAAGATACACCTGTCAAAACTCCTGCACTATCGTCCCACGGACAGTAACGTATAAAACGCAATATTATTTTATCCCTTGAAATACGCGGTGATGTCTATCAAAATTCTATCGTCACTCGACGCCACCAATCTGTGAAATATTCCGCAGCCGCGCGGCTAAAAATTCCAACAGTGTTTCGTCGGATACACAGCACGGTCCATAAAGCACGGATCGATATTAGAGAGATTTCTTGTTTATAAACGCGGCGTGATTTAACCAGCAAAAAATTTAAACAAACATTCGAAGTTGACGTTAGTTTCCAATTGCAGTTTCAATTTTAACGGAAATCGGATAGAAAAAAGCCTCGACAATTTTATGCTCAAAATTCTGCCCGCGATCGATGACGCTCTTTGTCTTAAAAGTTCATTAGTGAAAGTCGACGCCCCCGACTCGAAATTCCTTCCTTCCTGCTAACGATACCCGCACTTTTCCGGCCATTGTGTATAGTACACGCGGCGGGAACCGTGTTATAAGTTTCAACGAATTAATTCTCCGGTGGGAAAAGCGCCGCAGCGGCGACGGCGGAGGCGGCGGAGGCGGCGGGTCCAATTTTTCTTACGACCAGGCATGAATTTCAGCGCGCACTGTCCATTACGCCGTGCCCTTTATCCTCGTTAACCGGCGCTCCCTCTCTCCGCAGTGCCTCTCCATGTCCCGTCGAGCGTTCCTCACGTCCGCGCGACGGGATGCCGCCGGGCGTCCCTGCCCTCCGCGTTCTACTGCGCACGTCTACCAGCCTCCGCGTTGCGTTTATCACCCCACACAGAAGGGGCGACGTTTCGCCTTTATCACAATATTGCGTAAACTCCCGCGGCCTTATCAGTTGCCCGCCTTTTCCGCCGTCAGGCAAGAGTGAGTAGCTTCCTGCTATGAGGAGTGCTATCTGCGCGCGTAAAGTCGCACTATGACGAGCGATAAAACGAGGATACGACGATATTAAGCGCGGCGTTTCGCGCAAGCATCCTCGCGAGATCAACGGCATTTTGTCGATTGAAATTATTGAAGAGCGAATATGCTTAGGGGGGATGCTTTGACGTCTCCTTTAATCTTATTCTAGCTGAAAGTAAGGGACTAGAAAAGCTGTCACATTTATTCTGCTCGAGCAGAGAAATTT